GGGCCGCATAAGCCAATGAAAACCGAGGTTTTGAAAGGACACGGGGATTCAGCCAATGGCGACGCGGGGCGGGGCCCTCCGAGCCTCGCCCCCCAGGCCGCGAAAAGGAAGGTCACTCTCTGGCTCTGCGAGTTACGCGTGTTCTTCCCTCTTTCTCCGTGGACGTCCATGGCGCGTGGAGCGCGAGGAGCCGGCTCCCTCAGAGAGGCGGAAGTCCTGGAGGACACCCATGCGGTTCTGAGGCCCGCGCTGACACTGCTCGCGCGCCACGGTGCACACGCACGTGGCTGGCCGAGGGAGAAAGCATTGCCCTCAGACCTTTCAGCCCAGCCCCACCTCCCTCTAGCACACCTAGTGTTGGCCAATCAACTGGGCTCAGACCCCATTATTTTAGCTGGCTACCTATGGTGGCCTGCCTAACTCCTAGATTCTCTGCCCTGGGGACCTCTCCCCCTGCTTTACAGCTGCCCGACAATGTGTCTATCGGCTATCCACAGCGGACCTTTGTTGATGACTATTATATCCATGGTCATCTTGAGGGGCCTAGGTAAACCCGGTCTACATCAGTTTCCCTGCCCCCTTTATAAGGCTCCTGTGAAACTGGACTACTGTTGTTGACCCAGGCCAAATCACTGGCCCAAGAGCAGCCCAGGACTTGGGATATGAGTGGTCACTTGCCAGCCTCAGCGGAAGTCAGAATGGGTTGAGAAACTAAGCGTATTTCTAGTTGCTCCCTGGACTTTAGATGGAAGTCTAAACAATTCAACTGATATTTCTGTACTGCTACTACCTACCTGAAGGCCTCTAGCTCCTTCAGTTGCCATTGTCCCTCTGACTCATGCCACACACCACTTTCCCACCCTGGAACCCTTCTGAGATGCCTCCTGTCTCGATCCAATCTAGGGCCCACCCAGTTTCCTTGCCCCTTTCTGTCTTTGTGGCCTAGGTCCTCAAACTGTCTGGGCACACTCACCACCTCCCACCCCCTACCCTCTCCAATGGCTAGCTTTCTGAATGGGTCTCAGATTCTTGGAGCTCTGTCTGGCTCTCCCCTGAAGTGTTTCCGGGTGCTAACCATGTCTAACCAGAACAGAGCTTACTGCAATACCTACCAGCAGGATTCACAGAGCATCTGCTCAGGTAGAGAGTGTGCCTCTGGGTGCTTTCAAAGCTTTCACCCCCTCCTTGATCCCTAAACTCCTGAGGAGTGCTCCCAACACCTTGAATCTTCTCAAACTAACAAGAATGAGGACCCACTCCTCAAAGGTGCTCAGTCACCCATAGCCCCGCTCTCCTCACTTCAGGTAGGCTGAGGACCCCTCACAGTACTTCTAGAGGGCTTGGGGAGAAGGAAGGGATCTGTGGAACAGAAAACAGCCTTCTCCTCAGGTGGAGATTTGTCTTCATTGAGTTGTAGATTGATTACTCCATGAGCCTCTGTGTGTATTGGGGACCCTCCCCCGCAACCTACTAAACTGCATGACTTATCCGAATAGACCTTGGCCTTCACCCCTGGGAGCCATACAGGCCTCATCATATTCCATTTGGCCTGAGAGGAGGTCTGTAAGAAAGCGGCTTGATCTGAATGGCTACCCACACATCTGGAGAGGCATTGGGAAATCCCTGCATCCTCAAATAGCCCTGCCGCATTCTACCCCCTACCAGCAATGGACATGGCTGTCCCTATTTGTTTATCAGACGAAGGAAGGTTCTGATGGGTCCTGCCAGTGGATCATCTTTCCTCTTTGCATGGGAGTCTGGACTGAATCAGACCCAGGACAGTGCTCCCCATGGGCGTGGCTATTGGAAGCTGGACCTCAAGCCATCCCTACTCCACAGGTTTCAGCACCCCCAACCAGTTCCTGTGCAGGGTACCAGCCCCCAACCTGTTTTTTCCTCATTCCTAGAAGGCCCATCTGGTAAGCCTTAAAAATAGCTCTGGGCCCCACAGGTCAGTCATTCCATAGACAGAAGCAGAGCTGGAGAACTCCACGTCATGTTCCTTGCCTTCCTACCACTCAAAGGGTACCCTGGGTCCAGATCAATGTGACACAGGAATGTCCATCTGTTGGCCTTCCTCTTTTAACCAGGTATTACTTGAGGAGGGTCTATCCCCTCTCTCACACCCAGCCCCCAAGCCATCCTGTTCCCATCTCTACATGCAGCCTTGGAAACAGCCATTCCTGCCCTGCAGTGGGCACAGACAGAATGCACAGCCAGCCCCACCAGGTCACTCTGTCCTGCTGCTGGGAGGGGCTATGCTGTTGCTGTGGTGACAAGAGCCAGGCTGTCCTTTCTGGTAGGAAAGAAGAGATGATGGACTGGAAGATGTTCAGGGCCTCAAAACACACACACACACACACACACACACACACACACACACACACACACACACACACACACACACACACACACACACACACACACACACGGTCATACTTACAAACCCAGTCATGCACAAGTAACTGTCCTCAAAACAATGTGCACACACAGACACACAAAAGCACTCTACAGATCTGTGATATTACAGAGGAGGGCAAGGTGGGGCACCTCCCACACTCTCCCCAAGCGCTGGCCATCAGACTCCCCTGAGTCTTCACCTCCCTCCCTATGGATCTCATCTACATCCAGTGCTCTTGCCAAAGACAGAACCCATGTCCAACTGCCCTATGGGTAGGTCCTGGGTCTTCTCAACTCCTGTCTGTCTTTGATGTCCCTCCAACCTGAGAGTCTCCTCATTTGCCCTTTATTTACCCATGGCTCTATTCTATCTTACCTCCTTTCCATTAACCCATTGTCTCCTGTTCCTTGCCTCATCCCAGGCCAGACCCAGTCCATGCCTCTGTGACCATCAGGGTCAATCCTTTCTACAAAAAGTTCCTACTGGACCCTGAGCCACCTCTGGCATGGTTCCCACTGCAAGAGTGGATGACCCCAACTGAACAGGCCCTTCCTTAGCCCCCATCACCCAGCCAGTCCAGCCAGGCAGTATCCCAGATAGGCACACCTGGCACCAGTCTCACACCCCTGGCCCTGGCCCTGGCCCCAGATTTAGGCTTGGTGTTGTGCCAGGCCAACCTCTCCCTGAGCCTGGCTCTGTCCAGCTGATTAGCCAACAGGGCCTGGCTGCCCACCCTGTCAAGCCTGTCCAAGGCCAGGCCCCCAGGCAGCTTAGAGGCAGAGCTCTTTAAGGCACACAAGGCCCTTTCCCCTCCTGCCTCCACACTCCTTGGCAAACCTCTCCTTGATGAGGAGAGGAGC